TTGTATGGAACATCTTTTATTTTGCGGGGTGGTCACGGGGAAAGGTAGAAAAATGAGCCTCAGTCCAGAAGCATGAGTTTGTGTAGGGAGGTCGGCAGTGGCGTAGCATCCGTGGCGCGAAGGGGCTCAGTGAACCCGGTCCCACGAACATTAGCGTCCACAGCCTGTGACGTAGCAAGAATGGCGCGAAGTGGCTTATTGTGCTTGAACCATGACTAATGACCAGTTGGGGACCACATAACAAATTAGGGATAACATCAAAGTGAAAAAAATAATTGCGCTTTAGTAACAAAAAAACAACAACAACGTTAAAACTAAAATGTAGAGATCTCACTTAAACCTTAGATGTAACTTAATATTAATTACAAAAACATCAACCCGTGTTTTAACCTAGCGTTAATGGATCAGTGACTTGGAATGCTTTAATGTAAGAAATTGCTTTCCATCTGGTTTATTGTAATGGTGTCTAGCTATAATCGTGCGTTAGAGGGGACAATTGTAGCCAGATCGACCCATTCTTTTTTCCCTGTATATTCATAAAACCATTGAAAGTATTAGAGGAACGGGGCGGAAGGGGTAATTAATTTTTGCACAGAAGTGCAGGTTTATTATCTCGTTTCGAATCTGCCTTTTCCCATTTGTATCATTGATATATATCATGGGCGTAGCCAGGATTTTTTTCGGGGGGGGATTTTTTCTTCCCCCCTCCCGACCCCCTCGGAAAAAAAAAAAATATATGTTTGTATGGATATATGTGTGTGTGTGTAAATAATTAATCTCTATTACATTCTAACCCTTCATTCTTTTGGAAGACGTTTATTGTGCCCTTGAATAGGTTCTTCCTGGAGTTGTAGACTCCTCGCTCTTGCCAGAAAGGGGTCTGGGGGAGCGCCAAGCACTATTTCTGGTATTGAAAGCCAACTAAATGCATATTCTAAGATACCTACTGTGCATTATTTTGATATTAAAAAGTTGTATTTCAAAAACATAATGTTCTATTCTTACTGACTTAGACCCTCCCGCGCCGTTCGGCGCATTCGCTGGCAAGCTGTTTCCACAAAAATCTGTCACTGGCACTGTCTGAAGCCTCTTCCCACCTGCTCTGAGGTCCTACGTGAAAGTGTGGTGCCAAGTTGTACTAGGATGTCATCGCAACTCTTTTTATGCGTAATTCAATTTGTCGGAGAACATGTGCCTCAAACCTCATGCGACGTTCCGTCAGGGGGTTTTAAACTGAAAACACTTGGGCTATCTCCTTCCACATACTTTGTTCGATGCCCTTATTTCTCATGTCTCGCTTGCAGACATCTCTGTAGGTTAGTTTTGGGCGGCCCTTGGGTCTGACTCCCTCTGCATCTCAGCGTATAGTATGTCTTAGGGATTCTTCCATCTGGCATGCGAGTGACATGACCGAGTCAGCGTAGTCTTCTCTGTGTAAGAAGAGCATAGAACGTCCTGGTTGGGAACATGATCCCTCCGGAAAATGCACATTATGCGTCGCAGGCAGCGTAAGTGGTAGCTGTGTTCTTGACGCATGTAAGTTGCTCAGCTCTCACTGCCATAAAGAAGTGTGCTCAGAACGCAGGCTTTATAGACTATGATTTTGGTTGCCGTAGTCAATTTGGTATTTTCCCACAAGCGCTTGGAGAGTTTTGCCATTGCTGCAGAAGCTTTTCCTATCCTTTTTGTCACCTTTTTTGTTCCCAAGTATGTGAATTCCTGCACCACTGTAAGTGTGTGATTTCCATATTTCTGCTACATCTTGTGCCAGGATTTCGGTCTTGGAGAGGCTTATTGTAAGACTAAACCCTTGACAAACAGCTGTCAGAGCCTTTTCAAGTCTCTGCAATCCTTCTTGTGTGTGAGATATGAGTGCCGATACGGTAGATTGATATATTAGTAAAAATGTTAAATAAGGCCTGTTTGAAGTTTTTGTAAAAATATAATGGTGTTAACTTTAAGAGTTTTGAACCAAGTTTCAACTAAATACTAAGCATTGGTCAGAGAAAGACACTATTCCATTTCCATGATCAATTTATACATCTCTCTATCTTCTAAATCTTTGTTATAAACCTGCTCCCTAGATCAGTATCGTCATTCATTGTAATAAAAAAACATATTTAACTTAAATATTCCTATGTAACACATTTCATTTGCTTGCTATATATTTAATGTTATTTTAATTTTATTTTTTATTTATTTTTTACTTCATCTCCTTAACATTTTGTACACAATATAGAAAGAAGTTCGACATTTTACCAAAAGGTAGAAACAATATTCTCTCTTCAAACATATATAGTCTAACAAGTAGATATAAACATTTTGTCAAAGCCTTGAGTCATAGAGAGACATAGACTTTGGCGAATGGAATTTAATATTTCATTTCATTTTTTCTTTAAAAATTATTAATTCCTTTAGTACTGTGCGATCGGAGTCCCTCGGCAGCTGCCTAGTTTGCCTATGCCTAAGGTCTGCCCAGACCAAAGGAATGTATGGGAGAGCTTTTAGTTGTTGGTCTTTTTACTATGGCCAAATAAACCATATCTAGTCTTAGCACATATCAACGGTAATGCAAGTAAATGAATATTTAAATTCTACAAATTATATTTTAAAATTGTAGATAAGTGTTGCTTGCGCAGCGGCTGCAACAACTAAAGAAACATGTACTATCCTTAACAAATTATACACCTTATACCATAGAACGGTGTGGGGAGTTCATTCACAGAATCTATTGTTTACTCCTTATAATTTCATTGTGGATTTAAAGTGATTTCGATCTGATTATTCCTGTGACCTATTTACCTTTAGGTTTTGGTTTATTATTGCTTTGTTTAGCTTTTTTATTTACGTTTTTTTTTAGTAACTTTTGTGTTTACTTTTACTATTAACATGTCTGGGAATCTGGGAAGACATTTTTTATTGAGAGTAGGGATTTGGAGGGAGGTCTCGTCCATCCTCCAGGTACTTTACTTCTCAAGTTATTCGAAAAGGGGGCAGTCAGAGGTACTATGGCATCCATTGTTGCCGCCTTAGGGCTCAGGTCATAAGGGGTGGATCCCCTGTACCATTTTGAAAATCCATTTATTTGGTACCTTGGCGTTTCCTCGCGGTGGTGAGGAGTCCAGAAAAGGGTCTTCGAAATGGATGATACCATCAGAGTGGAAGTGACCATCCTGGAGGAGACAAAAATAAGGTTGACCCTCCACTGGGTATTGCCTGCTATGTCTAAAAATAAAATAGAAGAGACTTTTCAGTCCTTTTGCTGAGAAAGGATCCGAATTGGAGGCCTTGAGATTGGGAAATACGGATTAGTGGGCGGCGTGGTTAAAACCACGAAAAGATGCGGAGCTGACTCATTATGACCAACTCAGGTTTGAAAACAACCCAAGGACTTACAAGGTTATGTCATAACTCCTTGAAGAAGGCAACAATGTTGGTTTTGCCAACAGGAGGATCACTAATCTTATCAATGTCCGAAGTGGGCAATCCATAAGAGCCATTGAAAAATGAACATCCCCTAGAGTCCCAGGCGGAGACTTACGCAACGGCCTGGGAGGGAGACGGGGGGGGGGGGAAGCAGAACAAGAGCGAGGAATGGCTGGAGAGGAATGGCTGGAGAGGATTGGCTGGAGAGGGATGGCTGGAGAGGGATGGCTGTAGGAAATGGTTTTGAAATGGTAAAAAACATGAAAAAAGATACAACAAGGGAATCTTCCAGTAGTACTGGGACCCCCCCCCCCCCCCCCCATCCAGCCCTTCTCACAGAAAAGCTGTAGAGAGAATAAACATTATAGGAAGTTATACACATTAAAAAAAAGAAAACATGTGAACATGTAAGGATTAAAAAGCAGAAATATTTATTTGATTAGTTTTAAGACTGAACACTATACATTTAAAACACAAATAAAACTATATAGTCTACTAAATAATGAGCATATATGGGATACTATAATAAACGAAAGAAGTAGAGTACATGTTTGTCGTTTAAACAAACAGACTGTTATCTTTTGTTCCCCAGGGACTTGGCTATTACATTTTAAGGCCTTAAACAAATCCACTTTCTAATGTGAATCTCTCAAGTACTGCTTGATTGATCGGACCCCATGATGACCTGCTAACTATTGTAAAAAAAACGCAAACATCTATGGCCATATTACAAGATCTGCGGGGCTCGCAAAGACCTTCCTTCAGGGAACAGTACCAGGAAAAAGAAGAAGAGACAGACAGAGAAAGCGATGGGAGGACAACATAAAAGAATGGACGGGCCTATCATTGAAAGAGGTTTTAAGCAATGCAAAAGACAAAGAGGACGGTCGACAAGTCTTGCTTGGTGCCCCATCGGATAAACAGACTAAGGGATAGGTAAAAGTAAAAAGGTGGTAGAAGTCCATGGTGCACTTTGATTTGATGTTTTCTTTACTTGTGTGTTCCATGGTAATGCAGAGATTTGTTATTTTGTTGGTCAGAATATATCAATAAATAACTAGAATGACTTCATGAAGGAGTGTTACAAAATGAAGTCTCTCTTGTACCTAATAATAGATAATGTATGATAGGTAACTAGTAATAAACCACAACCCAGTGTGTATGATAGGTAAGTAGTGATAATATACAACCCAGTGTGTATGATAGGTAAGTAGTGATAAGCTACAAGCCAGTGTGTATGATAGGTAAGTAGTGATAAGCTACAACACAGTGTATGATAAGAAAGTAGTGATAAGCTACAACACAGTGTGTATGATAAGAAAGTAGTATAAGCTACAACCCAGGGTGTATGATAAGAAAATAGTGATAAGCTACAACCCAGTGTGTATGACAGGTCAGTAGTAATAAGCTACAACCCATTGTATGATAAGAAAGTAGTGATAAGCTACAACCCAGGGTGTATGATAAGAAAGTAGTGATAAGCTACAACCCAGTGTGTATGATAGGTAAGTAGTGATAAGCTACAACCCTTTGTATGATAAGAAAGTAGTGATAAGCTACAACAGAGTGTCTATGATAAGAAAGTAGTGATAAGCTACTGCCCAGTGTGTATGATAAGAAAGTAGTGATAAGTTACAACCCAGTGTGTATGATATGAACGTAGTGATAAGCTACTACCCAGTGTGTATGATACGAACGTAGTGATAAGCTACTACCCAGTGTGTATGATATGAAAGTAGTGATAAGCTACTACCCAGTGTGCATGATAAGAAAGTAGTGATAAGCTCTATATTTCAAAAAGTATTGAATTATTTGTTTGTTGCCCAATTCAACATTGCAGAATCAAAATGTTTTAGTTGACAAGAGTTATCTTTCCATTGGTGATATTCCTAACATGGAAATAAATCCATAAATAGTATCCAGTGTAGGATATACGAAAGTATTGCTAACATTTAATTTTTCTTTAAACAAAAAATTATGGTGCATTCGTAAAAAATGTATATTATCATACGATTAATTACCAAAGTATGAAAATCCCAAAATTGGCGCCTGCTAATTTGTTTATAGAAATTTCATTTGCAAATATCTCCCATTCTTTCTCTTTTCATTTTTTTTTAAATTTCTAAACATTTCATTAGACCTTCCATGTTGCTTTTACATCCATGATGTATTTTTAAAATGTTTACTGGATTTTAAAAATCAAAATGTGTTTTAAAAAAATGAACTGATTACTGTGATAAGAATAATTCTGACTATTTCTATAAATACAAGTTGAAAAGAATCTAGAATCTTTTAGGTTTTTGTTAAACTTTTTGACATCTCAGTTCCTTCTGGTACATCTTGAGGACCATTCAATCAAACTTGTACATGTGCACATTTATATGTGTGGAGAACTAGAGAATAACATCAACAACTTTTTTCTATACTTCCATTATTAAGTTGAGTTGATTCGTTAATTTATCATTTGGTTTTCTTAAAAGAATAATAGAAAAAGGATATGTGAACAAAATTATTCGGGATTAAATTTTTATACAAATTGAAAACACAAGGGCAATAACAATGTAAACTGTGAAGGCAAATGACTTCGAAGTTGTTCCTATGTTATTTCCCTCTGCAGTTGTGTTGGTGACGTTTAAGGCTTTGTAGATATCAATGTCACATGAAGAGAAAAGAGACAGCAGTTCTTGTCCGATGACTGATGAAGACCACATCTGATACTAGATGAAAGAGTATATCATAGTGTTAGCGACATTTTACTCATCAATATAAAAGTACATGTATGACGCAAGAAACAGTACTTTTATGTTGTTGTACAAATGTATACAATTTATATTAATTTATATATATTATCTTTATTATAACCCCAGAGCAGGTTTGTGTGTATATGTGTGGACAAAAACATTGTGCAACTAGTTCAAAATGACAATTAAAAAAAATAGCTGGTTACAGGGGCGGGGCTTCCTTCACCAATGCCTTATGCGTAGCACTTAATATAAAAAGAGCCAGTGTTTAAGAGACATCGGGAGAAGCAAGTACCGCCTACAGGCTCCTTACCAACCCTTCCTAACAGACACACGTTTTTACCAACCTTTATATAATCAAAAATCTCTCCATTTAAACATGGATTGTTCTTTTTCAAGCGAAGAATAGTGTCCAGACATTCTTTTATACACGGTCCATAACGTTTGCAGTTACTGACCAGGTCATGATACATCTGAGTTGAATTAAGCCATTCTGTGTTAGAATAGTTGAAGAGGTTGAAGCAGCCTTGGTAGGTGGACGTGTCACAGCGACTGCGATTTAAGAAGTAAGGAAGAATCACAATGAGAACTAAACAAAAATGGCGTTCCTTCCAATGCCTTCTTCAATTCAAAATGGTTAAGATTGCAATATGGTGATTAGTGTATATAAAAAGTATTTTGATCTATAGTAACTTTACATTGCTGTTATATAACTGCTTCTTATGTTTATATTGATATTTAAATTTAATTTTATCACAAGACGGAATAATCTTTATCATTAACAAAACAAATGTATATAATGGCTCATACACTGTGGTTATTTCATTCAATGTTGTTACACTTAATTGTGCACATGTCAATGCAACGTAAACATTGCGCTCTAGTCTAATCTATTCGCTGGGATTACGGAGAATAGGATGGCTCGGAAAAGATATACTACTTTTAGGCACTCTGCAAACATAACACAGCTCGAGTTCAATCCCAAGAAACAAAATTTCCGGTCAACGTTAGGATTGGAACTCGAGCCTTCTAGTTAGATCGCTAAGCGGTATATAATACTCATCAACACATACCACTAATGGTAACTTGTTAAGCTCTACGAACTTCTCTGGTTCAATGTCTCCGTCTGTCTCCGTCTGTCTCCGTCTGTCTCCGACTTTTTCTTTCCTGATTCGTTTTTTTTCTACTATCATGCAACAATTTCTGTTGAAAAGTGTGTCAAGACTCACCTGACATCAGGCCCTGAGGTAAAACACACTGCTCCAGGAGCGTTCTCTTTGGGATAGTAGATCATAAACCCGTAACACATCTCGTCCAATGTGGCCTCGCCCCAGAAAGTAGACTTTGTACGCTTGGCAGTGGTGAATGTACACGTGGTGACCAGTTCATCTCCAGGCAGCAGTTGGATAGGATCCTTCATACTGCAACAATGATTTCATTCCCTTCATTTTGGATGTGCTGACCAAATTTTAAACAAAGTTATCTCCCCATTGTTAATATCTGGGTTACATTGTTTAAACATAAAATATGGAGAAATGTAGCAACCTAAAATCGGACGCGAATTTGAGAGATTTCTTATGCAAACTAAATGTTAAAATGTACAGAACACAACACGCCCGCAACGCAAGGTCTGAAAGATGAACTTCACTTATTTTCAAACATTTTGTAGCTGAGACAAAGAAAATACTATACAAACAAGTCTAACGTCCCAGAAGCAAGTCTAACATCCCACACACAAGTCTAACGTCCCAGAAGCAAGTCTAACATCCCACACACAAGTCTAACGTCCCAGACACAAATCTAACATCCCACACACAAGTCTAACGTCCCAGACACAAGCCTAACGTCCCAGACACAAATCTGACATCCCACACACACAAGTCTAACTTCCCACACAGAAGTCTAATGTCCCACACACAAATCTAACATCCCACACACAGGTCTAACGTCCCACACACAAGTCTAACGTCCCACACACAAATCTAACTACCAACACAAGTCTAACGTCCCAGACACAAATCTAACATCCCATACACAGGTCTAACGTCCCACAAACAAGTCTATCGTCCCAAACACAAGTCTAACGTCCCACACACAAGTCTAACGTCCCACACACACGTCTAACGTCCCACACACACACGTCTAACGTCCCGCAAACAAGTCTAACAACCCACACACAAGGCTAACATCCCACACGCAAGTCTAACGTCCCTCACACATGTCTAACATCCCACACACAAGGCTAACGTCACACACACAAGACTTACGTCCCACATACAAGTCTCACGTCTTAGACACAGGTATAACGTCCCACACACAAGTATAACGTCCCAGACACAAGTATAACGTCCCAGACACAAGTCTAACGTCCAACACACAAGTCTAACGTCCCACACACAAGTCTAACGTCCCACACACAAGTCTAACGTCCCATAAACAAGTCTAACGTCCCATAAACAAGTATAACGTCCCAGACACAAGTCTAACATCCCACACACAAGTTTAACGTTGCACACACAAGTCTAACGTTCCACACACAAGTATAACGTCCCAGTCACAAGTCTAACGTCCCACACACAGGTTTAACGTTGCACACACAAGTCTAACGTCCCAGACACAAATCTAACATCCTACTTACAAGTCTAACGTCCCACACACAGGTCTAACGTCCCACACACAAGTTTAACATTGCACACACACGTCTAACGTCCCACACACATGTCTAACGTCCCACTTACAAGTCTAACGTCCCACACACAAGTCTAACGTCCCACACACAAGTACAACGTCCCCCACACAAGTTTTACGTTGCACACACAAGTCTAACGTCTCACACACAAGAAAAAAGTTCAACACACAAGTCTAACGTCCCACACACAAGTATAACGTCCCAGACACAAGTCTAACGTCCAACACACAAGTCTAACGTCCCACACACAAGTCGAACGTTCCACACACACGTCTAACGTCCCACACACACGTCTAACGTCCCACACACAAGTTAAACGTTGCACACACAAGTCTAACGTCTCAGACACAAATCTAATGACCCACAAACATGTCTAACGTCCCACACACATGTCTAACGTCAAATTACAAGTCTAAAGTCCCACACACAAGTCTAACGTCCTACACACAAGTCTAACGTCCCACACACAAGTATAACGTCCCCCACACAAGTTTAACGTTGCACACACAAGTCTAACGTTCCACACACAAGTCTAACATTCCACACACAAGTCTAACGTCCCACACACAAGTATAATGTCCCACACACAAGTTTAACGTTGCACACACAAGTCTAACGTCCCAGACACAAATCTAATGACCCACAAACACGTCTAACGTCCCACACACATGTCTATCGTCATACTTACAAGTCTAAAGTCCCACACACAAGTCTTACGTCCTACACACAAGTTTAACGTCCCATACACATGTATAACGTCCCCCACACAAGTTTAACGTTGCACACACAGGTCTAACGTTCTACACACAAGTCTAACGTCCCACACACAAGTCTAACGTCCCACACACAATTCTAACGTCCCAGACACAAATCTAACATCCCAAACACAAGTCTAACGTCCCACACACAAGACTAACGTCCCACACACAAGTCTAACGTCCCACACACAAGTCTAACGTCCCAGACAAAAATCTAACATCCCACACAAAAATTTGACGTCCCAGACACATGTCTAACGTCGCACACATAAGTCTAACGTCCCACACACAAGTCTTACGTCCCACACACAAGTCTAACGTCCCACACACAAGTATAACGTCCCAGACACAAATCTAGCATCCCACACACAAGTCTGAAGTCCCAGACACAAGTCTAACGTCGCACACACAAGTCTGACGTCCTAGACACAAGTTTAACGTCCCACACACAAGTATAACGTCCCCCACACAAGTTTAACGTTGCACACAAAAGTCTAACGTTCCACACACAAGTCTAACATTCCACACACAAGTCTAACGTCCCACACACAAGTATAATGTCCCACACACAAGTTTAACGTTGCACACACAAGTCTAA